GCTTGAATGAAAAATCAAATTATGATGTCACTTTCAAGCGAAAGTAAAATAAATCATGAAAGGGCCCTTTCAACCGAAAGAGAAAGTAAATTAAATTTTTAAATTAGTGTTTGATTTGTATTTGGTTATCTTTCATGAAAGGACCCTTTCAACCAAAAATTAGTGTTAAGCTTAAGTGACATCATGACTATTTTTAAATTTTGATGTCACTTTTTAATTATCTTAATATATTTATTTATAATAATTTTCTTTATATTTGATTTGTATTTGGTTATCTTTCAAAATTATATATTAATATTGTTACATTTTTACAAAATATTTTATGATGTTCTCTGATTGAATATATTTCGTGAATAATTTTGTGTTCGAATTAAGAATGCTAAGTATCATTATATTTTGTAAATGAATTTGTGTTCAAATTATGAATGGTAAATATCGTGATTCTTAGGATAAAATTACAAGGATAAAAAGTAAATTAGTGTTTAAATACCTTTCTTTCCCTTGTGAACCAAATATGTTTGTAATTAAAGTTCCTCATCTCCCTTCCCCTTTCAATATTTGAGCCTGTTAAAGTACATGAAGATATAAACCTTGTACTACAAGCTAACATCTCTGTACATGCAGTCTACCATTATCAATCATGTATCACATGTAGGAGATTTTTACTCATTAGAGATTTAGTTACAAGTTATAGTTAGTTAGTTAAAGTTTGTTAGAAACTAACTTCTGTATAAATACTCATCATGTAACTAACTCTCTTCAATCAATGAGATTCATTCATTCATACTATTTTCTCTTAATCATTTTCTCTATTTTCAAGTTTTCTTTCATTTCCTTCATGATGATGAGAAACTCCATTATGGTATCAGATCTCTTTTAAGCTCTACTATGCACTGTTTTCCATTTCTTATTCTCGTTTTTCTACCGTTCAAAATGGTCAGGGGTGCTAATGTTGTTGTCAATGGTGTCGCCAACGTTGAAATGCTCCAACTCAAGATTCCTCTCAACAACCTGAAAATGTGTATTATGTTCACCCTTTAGATGGTCCTTCTTAAGTTTCATTTACACCACTTTAAAATCATTCTTACTACCATTCATGGGCGAGATCCATGCAATGTGCTAATGGCGGGAAGAACAAATTTAATTTTATGAATAGTTCCTTACATATAACAGCCGAGTTTGATCCGACTTGCAAAGCTTGGAATCGTTGTAACATGATTGTTCACTCCTAGATTATGAATTATGTTGAAAAACGACTTTGCAAAGTATCATTTTTCTTTAAAATGAGATATATCTATGGAATGAGCTCAAGGGCCTTAGAGGTGTGTCAGAAAATGTTGAAGGACCAAGAAGAGATGCTTAAAGTGATTATTATCGATTGCGATACTGCCTTGATGAATTTAGTACATAGCTATTTCTTACTTCTTATACATTACTTTATAGGTATCATATAACAAAGAATATGAGAAGTAGAGTTAAACCTGCGATAGGGACGAAACTGATAGAGTCTGAAGATAGAAAAATGGTGAAGGAAAGTGTGGTTGTGGAAAAAAAAATAATGGATACATGGAATCGTATAGTAAAATCTTCCAGAAAATAATTATATACTAATTTCGTTATGCATTTTAGAGAAGTGTAAAAAAATATCTCGATTTATTGAAATATGTTAAAAGCATAATTCTTGACCATATAAAGGAGAAAATTGTTTGTGCTTGGACTGATTAAGTTAAACACCTTAGAAATACAACAACTAACCAAGTTGAGTCTGCCCATGCTATATTGAAGAATTGATTGGAAATTAGTAAGGGTGATTTGTGTAGAGATTGGAGCTCTGTGAACCAAATGATTCAGAACTAGCATAATGATATACAAGCATCATTTGGTCGGAGCATCACAATTTTGGAACACAGATTTAAAGACAACCGAATTTATTCTCAGTTTGTAGACAACATATCTCAAGTGAGTTTGGACTATATTTTTCTCGAGGATAAACAAGCTGATAATGTAGGCTCTGATTCCGCAAGTTATGGATGCATAATTGTGAAAACATATGAGAAGTGATACTTGGTAGCTCGGTAAGAATGAATGAGGTTTGTACTCTCTAGAAGAGGCTTAGGTTCTGTGATGATGGTGTCATGAAAGACAGAAAATTAAATATCTCTATCTTGACCGAATGGGAAGTGATACAAGAGAGATTTTTAAAAGACAATGACAATATGAAACTTCACTTTAAAAAACAATTGAGGAAGATTCTTATCCGGAAACCACCGACTTGAAACCACCCTCTCAACCGGTAAAAACAAAAGGTTCTCCGAAGAAGCTTAAGCCTACACCAAGTGACAATTCAACGATGCAATCACCTTCATATTTTGAACATGTTGACAAAGTTTTTCCGGACTCACCAACTCTAAAATCTCAAAAACGTGTTTACAAAGGAGCTCACATTAGAAAACCACCTCTTACGCTGCCTCTACCAAAGATTCCATTTATTGACGAGATGCCATTTTTTATGCACAAATACATCGAGCAGATCGTCAAAGTTGATGGGGACGGTAATTGCGGTTATCGAGTTGTTTTAACTTTACTCGATAAAGGATAAGATAATCATACACTTGTTTTCCATCAACTTATCCAAGAGTTAGAGACTCATAAAGAATAATACACATGGTTGTACGAAAAGAAAGAAAACTTCGATAAAGTTTATAGGTCTCTTGTTCCTTGCCTTAGTGGACTTGCACCGAAGGAAATATGGACGTGTTTCCCTAAAATGGATCACCTCATAGCATGTGCGTATGATATACTGTGTTTTGATCTTACATGATACAATTTTTCGAAAACCTTTTTCCCATTGCGTACCGCCTCACCTCAAGATCTAAATGATCTTATTATGTGTATTGAGTGGATTTCAAAATCATAACATTTTGTTCAAGTTTACTTGAAACGAAGATGTCCTATACCACTAACATCACCGAAATAGAAGACTCATTAAATAACAAAAGTCGAGACTCGGCCGAACCATTTTGTGGAAATGATATAAGAGTTCTAGAACTTGAGCAACATTAAAAGAGAATCAGATGCACAAAAGTCAAAGGGGGTATCACCCATAGATTTAGCCGGCGACAAATGTTTAGATTCATTTTAATTTCCTATTTAGTTAGAAAAATAAGTGTATTTAATTATGTCTTGATATTAATGAAGTTTAATATATTCGATTTGTCATATTGTGTCTTAATATTTTAATACATTTTTTTTATCTTTCCCATAACATTTGTTCATGTTTCAAAAAAAGGTTCTGTTTTCAAAGGTTCTGATTTTTGCCTGTTTAGGAGAGGTTTCGGAGATGCATATTTGGAACAAGATAATAGGGTGTGGAACTAGAGATATATCTCTAGAATCAGCGTGTCAGACTTTGAATGGTCCACATTTGTCTACAACTTCTATAAATTAATGTGCTCTTATTTTTTATTTCTCACAAAGTGAAAATGTCTCAAATGTCACAAATAAATATCATATGGTATGTCGTAAATGTCTCCTTCTCCAGTGCGACACGACAAAAGTTTAAGCTCAAGGAGTACACCTCCCTTGCAGTTATTAAATATGAAATCCATAATATCCTACCTTACGAAGACAATTGAAGAACTGTGAAGCTCGAGTGCCGTTCACCGTCGATTGACAACAAAGGGAAGATTGAGTTCAACAACATTGAGCTTAAGGCAAATGCAGATGTAAGAGCTACGTGGAGTACATATTCCCGTTTCGAAACAAAAGGTACGCACGAGTTGGAAGTGAAGATTTCAAGATCGGTCAAAAATATTGTGAAAATGTTGAAGCATCCACCTGGATGCTGAAGTGTAATGTTGCATTTTATGTTTAAACCATCTATGTAATGCTTATTTTATTTTATGAATGTTAATTTTATCTTGCCAAAATACAAGTTTCTAGTTTCTGCCTCGTCTAGTGTTGTGTATACGTTACAGACATGCATCTACGAAAATATACCGGAAATGCATCTCCGCTATTTAAAATACTCAACTAATAGAACGCCACTCATAATGGCCTACATTAAGTGTGTATTGGATGCGACTAGAGATGCATCTCCGAAATCCGAGGGATATTTTAGTATTTTTGTGTGGTGCGTAAGTAACATATAGGGTGCATTAAGAAATTTCAAATGAATATATTGAATCAATTTAGTGGGTCAATATGGTTTCAAAAAATAAAAAATTATTCAAAACAATTAGATTTTGGATAAACCCAGATTCAACCCATAAAAATCAATAAATTCAAAATTTTTATCATTATCTACTAGATATTTTTATTTTTTTAGGTATGCTAATGAATACAAATATAAATATTATTTCATATATCAATTATAAATATTTGAAATAATATTTACATTTTTATTATTGGAGTTTGGTAGAAGATATTAATGTTAAAGTCAAGATTTTTTTTTTATAGAGGATATTATTTGGACAATTTTTTTTTTAATTTGATGGGTGATAACTTTGATGTGTTTATATTTAGTTTTTTCAATTTTAAACTTTTGAACACTTATTATTTTGTGAGTCGTGATTTTAAATTATTTAAGATTGAATTTTGATTATTTTAATGCTAATGCTAATAAATTCTAAATATTTTATGTTAATCTAAATACTACAACTTTTAGTTTTACAAATATATTTATTATAAGTTTTTTTAGTATATTTAGACATTTTATGTTAAAACAATTTAAAAAAAAATAGTTAGAGTATTTTTAAAAAAAAAAATATGACACGCAATTATATTATATAAGAAAAAAAAGGTAAAGAGAGAGAATTGGGCAATCCACTAACCAATTCACAAATTTACGACTTTACCAAATCAATTTAATTATATTATGGGTATGGTTATTTTACCTCATAGCCCTAATTAAAGCGGTCGAGAACGCCATTATGTCACATTTGTAACTGCCACAATATATTTATTACAATACTACTTACTTTTTTTTTATCAAAGCAAACTCAATGAATATCAATAATCAGAAAATGTTTGATACAAGAAGGAGCTAAATTTAAAGAAATGCGTTTAGGCCAAGAATTGGCCTCCCTAGCAAGATAATAGGCAACCATATTCGCTTGATGGCTAATAAGTTTAACCTCAAAGTTATAATTAACACTCAACAAAACTTTTATAGAACTAATAATAAGATAAAGCTCATAACCACCTATATGATTGGAATGGATGGCTTGAACAACAATTTGGGAGTCACTTTCGAACATCACATTTTCCAGATTCTATTCAATGACATCATGGATTGCTTCCTTAAGAGCCAAAGCTTCAGCTTCATAAACAACCATGATTCTTGGATCCCAAGCCACATCTGCAGAAATAAAGTTCCCAAAGTTGTCACGAGCACACCAACCCCTATTAGAAGTGCCAGTTTCATTCTTGAAAGATGCATCCACATTACATTTCAACCAACCTTCCATAGGGGACTCCAAGAAGGGAGTGCCTGTTGATCTTTATTCGGAACATGTACTTTTTGGGCTAAAAACCATTCCTGCCACTTGCGGAAGGCTAACCATCCAAGCTTTGGAGCTTCCTTGAACTCATTGTTCCAAATTCCAGTTGTTCCTATTCCTCCATATCTCATCTAACATGACAACAACTCTACAAGCAACCTTCATATCCTGCTTACTACAAATATAAAATATAAGTGATTTAGCATCATGGAAAGAATATAATAGAGTATCAATAATAATGGACAAACCTACTACCCTCCAACACTGAATAATCTCATTACAACCAAAGAAAAGGTGTCAATCGTCTTCTAGATTACTCTCGCAGAATTGACAAGTAGAAGGACAAGGGACATGGTGTTGTCGAAGTTTAGCATGAGTCGGTAAACACTCTTTACAAATTCTCCATAATAGGTGTTTAACTCTTGGTGGGACTTTAATATTCCAAAAGCTATTCCAATTCTCATGAATCCTCCTTAAACTTCTCCATAACCTATAACCAGAACACACTATTGTAGGACTCATTTTGTTCTTCCCTCCAAATCATCCTATCTTCCTGGACGTCTTCCAACAAGAGCACCTGTAAGATTTATTTGACATCTGCACAATTGAACACTTCTCTAATAACTCTAACATCGCATTGTTTCACAGTAGGAAAAATAAGATTTCTAGCAGTAATTTCGTATGCACATTGGTTCTAGGAACCACTCAGACACCCTTCTCTCTTACCCCTGATCCAAGGCTCTTGCATAACCTTGATGTGACTCCCATCCCCAATGCTCCACCAACAACCTAAAGATAATACTTCCTTCGCCTTCCAAATACTCCTATACACAAAACTAGGATTATAACCAAGATTACATTAGCTTCAAAGTAAGATGTTCTAGGAAAATACCTTGCTTTGAAAATTCTAGTGACCAGAGTCTGGGGTATAGAGAACAGATTCCAACCTTACTTAGCAACCATGACCATATTAAAAGCTTTAAAATCTCTAAAACCCAATCCACCTTCCTTCTTAGAACAAGCCAGCTTATCCCAAGCCATCCAATCGATTCCCTGATTATTACTTCTTCCTCTCCACCAGAAAGCATTGAGCATCTTCTCAATATCATTATAAACCGTATTTGGGAGAATAAAAAGGCTCGTGATATAGGACGATATAACTTGGAGCACTAATTTTATCATAACTTCCTTTCCTGGTTTAGATAAAGCCTAACCTCTCCATGAATTGATTTTGTTCCAAATACGATATTTAATAAAAGAAAAAGTTGCCTTCTTACTTCTACCAATCATAGAGGGTAGCCCTAAATACTTTTTCGTACCCAACACATGACGGACACCCATAATACCAGCTAGATCCTCCTTGGCAGAGTTAGAAATGTTAGGGCTAAAGAAAGCTTTAGTTTTATTCAAATTTATCGCTTCACCCAAGGCTTCAGCGTAAGTACTAATTAACTTCATGAGATGTCTAACTTCAGAGAGATTGGCCATGCAAAACAAAAAACAATCGTCACTAAAAAGAAGGTGGGACACAGTGGGTGCCCCTTTACAAATTTTGATCTCGTGTATGTCTCCTCTAGCTACTGCTCCCTTAACAAAAGTCGACATACATTCTGACATTAAAATAAAAAGGTAAAGGGACAGTGAGTCCCCTTGCCTCAATCCTCTCCATGGTATAATTGATTCAACTCTTTCCAAATTAACAAGAGCGATATAGTGCACCGAAGTAATACACACCATCATCTAATGAATCCACCTATCAACATACCCCATTCTGTGGATCACTCCTTGAAGAAAACCCCAATCCATCCTATCATATGCCTTACTAATGTCCACCTTAAGAGTCAATCGAGCCTTATTTCCTTTAGTTTTCCTTTTAAGGGTATGGATAACCTCTATAGCTATCATATCATTATCCAGAATATAACAACCTTCCACAAAGTCGATTGTTCTTCCGCTACATATTTATCAAGCATAACCTTTAACCTATTAGAAAGAGTTTTTGACATAATTTTGTAGATTCCATTACAAAGAAATAGGCCGAAAATCCTTCATCTTATTAGGGTTGACACTTTTGAAATCAAACAGACATTTGTATCATTAAGCAACGGCGGAAAAAAAACCTCTCTCAAGCTAATGTTTAGCTGCCTCGTAAATATCTAAACCACACAAATTCAAAAAAAATCTAATAAAAAGTAGAATTAAACCCATCAAAACCCAACAATTTATTAGGGTACATATCATATAATCATAAATTTAGGAGAAAAGTAAGGTAATAAGATGTTTGTACAATAATTAAATGATAATTTATAATATATTATGTATTAAGGTACATTACATATTTGTTTTTTTAACTATATATCATTCGCCTCCCTAAAGCATTTTTGTATTCTCATGGGCCTACTGCTCTTAGAAAACAATATGACAAAAGTGATCAATGCACTCAATAGCTACAAATTTGCCCTAAAGTTTGGACAATCGTCATGAATTTCACATTTAATGTGAAATTTAATAGATTCTCCTGCAATGACAAGAAATGGTATAATATTATTATGAAAACATGAAGAAAAAAAATTGTGGAATAAATAAAATTTAAATAAAAAAAATGAAAAAAGTGAATTATTTACCAACAACATGAGATACGGCAACGAACAAAAAAAAATAGAATCCAAATATACAATAACTTGGTAATTTTAGCCATACTTGTTCCACTTTGCATGTAAAAAATAGTACATATTTCCGTTTCGAAACAAAAGTTTCGCACGAGTTGGAAGCGAAGATTTCAAGATCGGTCAAAAATATTATAAAAATGTTGAAGCATCCACCTGGATGTTGAAGTATAATGTTGCATTTTATGTTTAAACCATCTATGTAATGCTTATTTTATTTTATGAATGTTAATTTTATTTTGCCAAATTACAAGTTTCTGGTTTCTGCCTCGTCTAGTGTTGTGTATACGTTACAAAAATGTATCTACGAAAATATACCGGAAATGCATCTTTGCTATTAAAAATACTCAACTAATAGAACGCCACTCAAAATGGCCTACATTAAGTGTGTATTGGATGCGACCAGAGATGCATCCCTAAAATCTGAGGGACATTTTAGTATTTTTGTGTGGTGCATAAGTAACATATAAGGTACATTAAAAAATTTCAAATAAATATATTTAATTAGTTTAATGGGTCAATATGGTTTTTAAAAAATAAAAAAATTATTCAAAACAATTAGATTTTGGATAAATCCTGATTCAACACATAAAAATCAATAAATTCATAAATTTTATCATTATCTACTAAATATTTTTATTTTTTTAGGTATGCTAATGAATACAAATATAAATATTATTTCATATATCAATTATAGATATTTGAAATAATATTTATATTTTTTTATTGGAGTTTGGTTGAAGATGTTAATGTTAAAGTTAAGATTATTTTTTTTATAGTGGAGATTCTTTGGACAATTTTTTTTTAATTTGATGGGTGATAATTTTGATGTGTTTATATTTAGTTGTTTCAATTTTAAACTTTTGAACACGTATTATTTTGTGAGTCATAATTTTAAATTATTTAAGATTGAATTTTGATTATTTTAATGCTAATGCTAATAAATTCTAAATATTTTATGTAAATCCGAATACTACAACTTTTAGTTTTACAAATATTTTTATTATAAGTTTTTTTTTAGTATATTTAGAAATTTTATGTTAAAGCAATTTAAAAAAAAAAACAGTTAGAGTATTTTTTTTAAAAAAAAGAATATGACACACGATTATATTATATAAGAAAAAAAAAGGTAAAGAGAGAGAATTGGGCAATCCACTAACCAATTCACAAATTTACGACTTTATTAAATCAATTTAATTATATTATGGGTATTGTTATTTTACCTCATAGCCCTAATTAAAGTGATCGAAAACGCCACTATGTCACATTTGTAATTGCCACAATCTATTTATTGTAATACTATTAACTTTTTTTTTTATCAAAGCAAACTCAATGAATATCATTAATCAGAAAATGTTCAATACAAGAAGGAGCTAAATTTAAAGAAATACATCTAGGTCAAGAATTGGCCTCCCTAGCAAGATAGTGGGCAACCATATTCGCTTGACGACTAATAAGTTTAACCTCAAAGTTTGAATTAACATTTAACAAAGCTTTTATATAACTAATAATAAGATAAAGCTCATAACCACCTATATGATTGGAATGGATGGCTTGAACAACAATTTGGGAGTCACTTTCGAACATCACATTTTCCAGATTCGATTCAATGACTTCATGGATTGCTTCCTTAAGAGCCAAAGCTTCAACTTCATAAACAGTCATGATTCTTAGATCCCAAGCCACACATGTAGAAATAAATTTCCCAAAGTGGTCACGAATACACCAACCCCTATTAGAAGTGCCATTTCTATTCTTGAAAGATGCATCCACATTACATTTCAACCAACCTTCCATAGGGGACTCCAAGAAGGGAGTGCTTGTTGATCGTTATTTGGAACATGTACTTTTTGGGCTAAAAAACATTCCTGCCACTTGCGGAAGGCTAACCATCCAAGCTTTGGAGCTTCCTCGAACTCATTGTTCCAAATTCCTGTTGTTCCTATTCCTCTATATCTCATCTAACATGACAGTACAAGCAACCTTCATATCCTCCTTACTATAAATATAGAATATAAGAGATTTAGCATCATGGAAAGAATATAATCGAGTATCAATAATAATGGACAAACCTACTTCCCTCCAACACTG